TCTCTCTTACATTGCTAAAGATTCACATCTCTTATTCACTCAGTGAAAATAAAAGGAAATAACGTTCTTTTTACTTCTTTTGCCCAAGTTTTGACTCCAGTCGTGGGGAAGATGTGGAAGACAGCAAGAAAGAGCTTGGTTATTCTTTAAGCAACTCTGCAGAAAGAAAGAATGAGAGCTAAAAATTGGAAGTGACATGCTGTTTATGTGCATAGTCCCATTGTGGGGTCACACAAACACGCAAATTAAAAACTCAAGCGTTTTTAACTGTGGTGGTGGGAAGAGTACGGTAACACCTCACTCTTCGTGGCCAGCAAACAAAATGGTGCAAGTGGGTGGAATACATTCCGGATCATCTTCTTTATCCAAAGTCCAAGAATCATTCAGTATGGCTTTAAGGCACATGTGCTGTTCACTTTCACAATCCACCCACTGTCTCATCTCATTTAAGCACCCTTCTTTTCTCCTTCCAGTATCTATCTATATTAACATTCATACTGTGGTGGACTCCAAGTAGTATGTCCTTTTCCCATCTTCATCAATTACTTGAAAAAGATCCTGAAATCCTTAGAAAAAAAGTGGAAAAGTACTCTGCTGAGTGCCACACCATTCTTGGAGGCCTTCATAACAGCCCAGTGGCTCAGCAAAGTGTGACCTGGTACTTAAGCATTTCAGGGATGAAGCACTTCTCAGAGAAGCTTTCTAGTGCTGCTTGAGCTCTCAAGGAGTGTACCCAAACCACATCCAATGATTTCACCTGAGCACGTCCACAGCAGGTCCTGTTGCAAGTACTCCTCAACGAAACAACCTGGAAACAGATACAGCTAACAACCTTATCTGTCCTTGAAACAAAAAGCCCTAGGAGTTCCTAAAGAGCGGTACTCTGCCCCGATAACAGAATAAACGTGGCATGTAGGTGTGAAAGGCTGCATCATCCCTACATACGCATATACACATATAGACATATACATTTATATTATTTATATAAATTTATTTATATATACGTGTGGCTTTGGAAAAAGATACTGGAAGGGAAGATTTTCTGGGCTACCCAAAACTCAGAAGTCTTTTTCAATAGGACACTAGTACATATAAAATGTTGGACATTGTCCAGGAGAACCCAAGTATGAGTAAGATAAGATATTAAGGCCTGAATTTTTCAGAATTAAGGGAAATGTGATCTTGGCTATTCCAACTCATGAGCTGCCATGACTTGCAGTAGGTAAATAATCAGCATCCTGGCAGATCCTCGATAGGCAGATAAATTGGATATATGTTGCTTCTAGGTATAAAAAAAAAAAAAACAACAGAACAAGAAGCAAGCTGAAGGCAAACTTGTACCTTGTACGCCGTGCAACTGCATACCCCTAATCAATTAGTGTCAAGGGGTTGGTAGCTATATTATCAACAGATAGAATATCCCTAAGGCTTCAAATTGCTAAAAGTAAACATTTCTACTGAACCAGCAGAGCTTAACAATTTGTAGTATGAAAATATGAAGTCTCAAAAACTTGGGTCCTCTGAGACTGTCCTATTTTTAGGATCCTTGTCAACAGGACTTGGGCATAATGCAATATGTTCACCAGGGGACAGCATGACAGTGGCTCTAGGGCTGTACTCAGTAAAACTGTCGTGTATTGTCACACTGTCATTGTTGTATTGAGTAATTTGTCTTTTCAGATCCCAAATCCTCCACTATAAACGTTACAGACAACAGGACAGACCCATCCTTCAAGATTTTCTTAAAAATTCTTTAAGATAAGAATAGCTTAAGAGAGTAGAGAAGAATTTGTTCTTGCTCTTGAAAAGCACGACGAAGTAGCCCATGATAGAGGAAAAGGGACCAATAAAGCTAAAGGCTGCAGCAGTAAATTACCCCAATCAAATTCCACTACCTGAACGCGAGAGGAAGCCTATCGCCTTTTCAAAAATAGACACACTACTTTCTTTGAAGAACAACTGGCACCAAAAGCTGTATCATTCCAAAGGTACTCGATACCTTTGATGCTACTGTTTAGTAGTTGGGCTTCAAGTCAGGGTAAGGGAGCCTGCGTTTAAGAACAACATCAAAGAGGAACAGGGACAACTTAGGCTCCGGGAGACTTCTCTTAGTGGAGAAAGTTGGAGATGTTTCTAACCTGAGATCTGTAATAGTAATGATAGCAGACTGAAACCTCCAATATTAGAGTTCAATGGGAATACTAGTCTCCAAATTGTGCTCTCAGTAGCAATTGGCATCGCTAGGACTAGGAACAGAGATTCTTTAAGTACACTGAGGCTACCGTAAGTCAAAATCAAACTTCAAATCCAGGTCAGGAGGAGTTGCAAAACAGTGGAAAGTTTAAGTCCGCAAATTAGAATTTCAGGAACAAGAACAAAGAAAGCTGACTGCTTCACAGGCATTTCTCCAGCTTCTGCTTTTTCTTCACCTACTCTGGCTGATCATACTGCCCAAAGTCAGCATCAGGACTTCGATTACCTAACTAAAACTTACTCAAACCTTTACAGCTGTCTTCTGAGACCAGAAAGTTGAAGGGCACGATCATTCCGAAGACAGGAGAGAAATCATTCTCTTAAGAACATCAGTTCACCCTAACATTGGTCACTAGATTTGTGGCCAGGTGGTCATCTTTTCTTTTCTCAAAGTAACTGAAGTTGTGTCAGAACTATTGAGGCTCTCTGAACTGGAACAGAGCTGATGTAGTTGTTCATAAGGAATAGCTGGAATTGTTCCCATTTCTCCTTTCAAGCCTTCAAATTAAAGTTCCGGAAAATACCATATTTTCCCAGAAGGCACAAACAAGCATCGCAAACATTTTCTTAATCTCTTAGGTTCTCAAGAACATGCAGAAGGACAATCCTTGTATTTTAAGCCAAGAACAAAAAAAAAAAAAATCTTCCAAATATGAATAGACTACTTCACGCAAAAATAACTACAACAAAATGAAAGAATTAACAGAAAATTAAAATCAATAAAAGTTTAAAGAAAAATTGAGAACGAAGGTCATTGACCAAAAAGCTGCAAGAAAACCCTCTGATTCAGTCGAAAGTTGAGAGAAAGTGACAGCATGAGACAGGCTCTTCCCACATGTACTATATCTGTGCCATGTAAGAAGTAAACACAGACCTCTACCATTTTTATTAAGGTTTAAAATCTCAGGGCTCCAGGCTCTGGATAGAACCACACTTTCAGTGAGAGGGTGCATCAAAACAATCAAGGGAGAACCGTGATACCTTTCTCACCATTCATTTCTGGGAATTGTGACTCTTCCGTAAATTGAAGATTTCAGGTACATGTATGGCAGAGAGCTGAAAGGTGGAAACTCTTATTTCCTATGCTAAATCAGACTGACTTTAGCTAGTTTTATTTAGTGAAGCACCAAGCCCAAGTTATACTTTGCAAAAAGAGAAGTAGTACCACACTAAAGCAGAATAGTTTAGAGCACGGGAAGAACAAGTTTGTGTTGCTTGGACGACATCATGAAGACTCCCTTTGGTCTATGCAGATACTAATTCTGACTTATTTGATTGCCATTTAATAGTTCATATTGAATGTTGTTAGGCACTATAGTAGAACAGAATATAAACAAAACAGAGGTGAAGTGCTTTCTAAATAGACTAGAAACTGTTTAGCTGCAATTAGTCTAACTAAAAACAAACTTAATATACAGATATAGAAGTCAAAAAAGCAAGAAACTTGATAGCTCTTAACACTAGTTTCCATCAAATAAGTTTACTGGATAAACTTGCCTCTCTGGTTTTTTGGCATTGTATTATGAAATTACATTAACTGATTCATTTCAGATCAAAAACAACTTTCCATATACCACTTTATTGCATTCCTAGCATGAACTTTGTTAACTGCTACTCAGCTACTACTAAAACCATAATCTCATAAATTATACTGTAAGGAATATCGTATTTCATGTGAGAACTAATACAGGTGTAGCGATGAGCAGATCCCACCACTAAACAGCAGGTTGTTTGGCAGACATTCCTCAGCTGAAACAACTGCAATAATCTCTATTTTGGAGTACGTGTGTTTGGGAGAAAAAGTTCAAAAGGTGTTCAACTCCCAGAGAGCGATAATCTTAAAACTGTCCCCGATCTCCTGCAGGAAATACCTTTTAACAGATAAAGTCAATTGACCTTTCATTGCCAGAAACCTCTTGCATATTGCCTTCATATCACTGACGTTTTCTCTTGGGAAGTTTATTTCCTTAAGACCATTTTTGTAGAATATTGTTGATAGGTATATGAACTTAGTTTTCAAGTTTTTAAAGGAATGTTTGAGCCAATACCACGGACAAATAACATAATTTTTATAAGAAATTACTCTTGTTTATCTTCAGGTTAGAAGAACAGATACACAACTAAACTCTCTTCAAAGGATGGTGGCCCTAACCATAGAAATTCATTTAACATCAAAATCATATGGTTCATAAAACAATTACCTCACAAAACATTTTTGATAAGTTATTTCACGAGAATAGACATCATCATTCTACCTGACAACATTTTCTTTTGCAGTCAGTCATAAGGAGAAACACCAACTTAACTGTAGGTCAGTGTATGAATGAAGACCATCCATGCATTCCTTATTGTTTACAGTTTCTTAAATATAAACCACAGTCAAATCGTAGCTGCAACCAATCCTTAAGTAGCTTTTGCCGTTACCAGAGGCTCTAGGCTCTTTAAAAAAAGACATTCTACTTTAAGTTACATATGCTAGAGAAACCTGTATACTTATTTGAAAAAAAAAAAAAAAAGAGCATCACTGTCAAAATGAGATCTAGTTTACTAAACAGAAAATAAGCAGAAGAAAAGAAGTTTAATCAAAGCTACTACTCAGTGTGAAGTTTTCAAATAAAGGAAAAGATTATACCGGATTTGCTTGGCCTCCACCAGCCCTACTGTGAAATTTTCATATCCTTTTAAAGATGTATCCAGCACTCTGTAAAAGAAAAACACACAAATACACACAAGAAAGAAGTACTCACACTCTTCGGATGCTGAATGGCAGCTTCGTGCTGCAGTCTAACCCGCTGTGGCATCATCACATCATCCTGGAATAAAAAGCACACTGTTACCGAACATAAAAAGGGTCACAGTACAGTACTTGGACACACATTAGAATATGCTGTTAAATTAACATCATTTTCCTGGCTTGCAGTCAAAAATACAAATGGAACAAATATTAAAGCCACTGTGATCATTGCTTGGTTTCTTCCAAATGCATGGAAGTAAACACATTTTAAAAAAATATATAACTTCACGAGAGCCTGTGAGTGAGGGCAGCTAAAAATGAGACTCAGCTTTTTTAAAAAACACTTGTATTTTAATCTGCTACTCTGCTCCACTCTCAAAAGATTAAGATTAAAATACACTGAAAACTATTCCCCCCTAAAGCTTCAGTTTTCAGTTTATATTTAATCTTAATTACAATTAAGGAAGCTTCCTTCTTTAAGGAAGCTTTAGGTGCCTTCTGTAAAAAACAAAAAGTAAGCGTATATATGCATGCAAGTAAAACTAAAGCATGCATACCAATAAAACAGACAGAGGTCATAAAATTCTCTCAAGAAGTTCTTCATTCAAAAGCCTTCTTTTTATGAGCAATCTGGGATATATACTTTCTGGTATATTCCCATTCAAAGGGCACAGCCTTACTTACCAAGCAGATGCACTGTGAACATTTGTGTATATAGACGGATAAATAAAAGTACAGAATAAGGAGACAAGGGTAAAGCAGCCTACAGTACTTGCTAGAGTACAGCAGATTATCAATCATGCTTGATAAAAGCCCACAAATTTAGACTAAAGCTAAAGCTGATTAAATGACCTCGCTGTTCTTCGTCACCCCAGAGTAGAGACAACGAGAGATGAAAGGTTGTATTATTATTGTACGTTACTTTAATCATCAGAATCGTTAGCAGGCATTATAGCTGCCTAAAGGTCTTTTACGTTCTTGAACTTTATTTAACATCAAAGACTTCATTAAAAACCCATACTTCAAAGTTGCCTGGTTTTTTGCAGGTAATATTTGTAGACATGACTACAGAGCCCACCACAAAATCTAGTTCTACTGTTTTTTCACAGTGCAAGTCGATCACAAGTCAGCTAAGAATCACTGGCAATAAGAAAAAGCACAAGACTCAGTTTTCTTATTATTGGAGACATAATGGTCTAGTTTCTCAATGATTTATGAGCTAGTACTACAGGAAACACGTATTTATCAATAGGAATTACAAGTCCAATGCATCCTGCACACCAGTGATAGAAATACAGACCTCCTACAATAAAATCAAATAGAGGCTATTCCGGAACTCTGCAGCAATCTAATTAGAATTAAGTACAAAAACCAAAGAGGTCACAAAGCTTTAATCCTGCAGTACTCGAAGCATGGTAAAGATAGACAGTCCAACAAGAAACCAATAATGACACTTGCGACTTTACACTTCTAGTGGATTAAACTCAATCCTGTCCAAATTGAAAGTGGCCAAAATTACAGCCTGACAACTGTGCTGCGATCTCAACATATTTCTTATGGACATCTATATATTTTACATTTCTGAAGATAACCACCAACTCTTTAACCACAAATTCTAATAGTAGTATTGGCCATATGTGCAGACAAGGACCTAACTTCTCATGGCTTTGAGTATGGGATTTGTGCATTCTGGAAACATGGAGAAGCGCTCTTTGCTGCCTCGCTGTACCTTGTTTCATGGATAAGGTAAAGCCTTCTGTCTCAAGCTCCATCAATACAACGTGTTTTATGAGTACAAAACCTGATATTCGAGAAAAGAAGTGATAAAAATCGAAGCACAGACACTGTAAGAACAAACATTCAGTGTACAGTCAAATACCCAACTTCAGCTCAAATTTTCTCCCTGATTGTAGCCTCCCAATGTTTCTTTCTATATTCTTTTCCATTTCAGTCCCACACATCTCATCTTTTATGGCAGCAATTCAGTCTTTCTTATATGTCGGTAAAACTAATACAACCTATTTCCTCTCAGAGTATTTACAAATGGTTCCAGCTTATCAGCCAAGCATAATTCAAAGGAGCCCAGAACTCCTACTCTGTATCCACTCTTTTAACAGCTCCTCACACTGAAATCATTCTAAAGAGATCCCTCCTAAAGCCAAATAATAAATATTGAATTTCCAACAACTTTCACATTAAAACTTTCAGTTAAATCAATGGCAACAGAAATACATTACTGCTTAAGCATCTAGCGCTTAGCGAGTTGAATGTCCTTGAGGACGACATTATACTTTTATCAAAAACAGAATGAGAAAGAAAAAAGTTTTGCAAGTAGGTCCAAATACTTAATACCGTTCAAGGTTAAAGATAAAACAATGAAATAATAAAGCTGGTCCTTATCACATGTGAATTTACAAAAATGTAAGGGATATATTGTCAAAAGCACTCTTCTGCATTTAGTATTTAGGGTATATTTTGTAATAAAGATAAGAAATGTTACTGATTTTCAAAGCCAATGGAGTAAAAAAAGCTTCTGATATATCATCCTTTATAATAGGGGGAGAATAAAGCTCTACACACCAAAGTTATTTCAAAAGTATGACAATATTGTTTACTATCTAATCCAGCTTATCAATAAAGGCATGAATTCAGGTACTGTATCAAGCAAATGTTCCAGTAGAACACGTATCCTATCACCCTGATTAAAACAAACACACACACACACACACACACACATACCCTTCCCCCAAACACAAAGAACACCTTGGAGGAAGAACAGGATATTAAATATATTTAATATATTTAATTATTAAATATAAATTCAACTGGAAAGACTGTTTGGTAAATCAAAAAGCTATCTGAAAAATAAAACAGAAGCCATTGTTCAGTTAGACTGTTAATTTTATCTCCTGAAGAGCTACAACCATTTTTATTTGTGTGCCAAGCACACAATTGATTTCTTTAAATCTGATTTTCATATGAACTATTGGAGTTATGTTCTAACTGTGCCTTGTTTACTTCCTTTAAGAATTACACAGGATTCTTAGTAGATGTCCTCTTGCTAAATCCCCCCCAAAAAACAAGAGCAAAAAAAGAGACATCCATCAAAAGCAAGGAATTTCAGCGCTTATAACAACGTTGCTATAATCTTCTACAGCATACAACACACATTCTTGCACTAAAAGATTCCAGTGTTTCCAATCCTGCAAAATGGAGATAAATTTAACAAAACCGATACATTCACAAAGATTAAAAATACACATGATTTAAAAAGGTTAAATTAGGGTATAAAACTTTCAGACCTAATTCAAATATCCTATTTTCCAAATAAGTCAATGTTATATTTTCATAGCGAGACAGATTGACAACAAAACGTCAAGTTCCCCCTAACAAAATAATATGTCACTTTCATGCTATTGGCAAAACGAACAAGGCTACAGATTGGAGTCTTAGGCTATCATCAAGACCGTCAGTATTCTGTATTATCTAACTTAAAAGGGGGCGTTATCAATGCAAGAACTTCAAAATACATTTTTTTCCAATATATTTTGGTGTTTAATGCTGAAAAAGCTGACACTTTCTACAAAAGGTAAAAATATGAACTCTTTTCCTGCATCTTTAACCAAAAAAAAAAAAAAAAAAAGGGAGTTGCTGTTCAGTTCTTTGATACTTTCTGGGCTCGTGAAGAAAAAAAAAAAAAAAGAAAATAGAAAACAGTAGTTTAAGACAGAATTCCAAGGAAAATAAAGCGAGTAGGTAATGAGGAAGAACAGGACAAAACAGAATTCCCATTTGAGTGACTCCAGCCATTTAGCTTTTTAGACTTAATCTAGGAAACTATAAAAGAAAGCTAATTGCAATGCTCAATTTCAACATTTTGAAGATCTTTACTAATGACAACTGTGCAGGTAACAGCAAAATGAAAACAAAATATATTAATATAGAAAGATTCTTAAACAATATTATTGCACTGTATAACAGCGAGTGTTTAAAAAACAAATTAAGTTCTAATGAGTAAAAGCATAAAGATTGTGCCACAGAATAAGAGCACTTTAAAGATTTCTCAATTTCATAGGTAATAGGAGTAAGACACCCAAACACACACTGCCTAGATAAAAGACTTAATGGAGTTCCAGCAACTACGGTATTAGACAACTAAGATGTTCACATATTTTATGCAATTACTTTGTTTCAAATGTACTTTGTGTAATCACAAATTTTCTATCAAAAATGTTTTATTTATGATAAGAAATTCAATAAATGTGATGCTAAACTTTGGTTGCTACAATCAATAGTTTCTTATTTGTTTCTTTAAAATTACGTTCTCAACAATTAGACAAACTTTTCCCAGAAAAAACCCCACATATTTGAATTTAGCTGCTATACCAAAAAGGAAAGTATACTTAGTCTGTTTCTGTCTCCCAGGTGGGAGCTGGGAAGACAGAGTCTAGCTCTAAATAACATTGAATTAAAAAAAAAAAAGCATTCACAAGTATTACAATTCATTCTATTATTTTTAAATCAACATTAAAGAAATTGTTGCAGAAAAAGTAAAGCAGTACACTGAAAAAGTCTATTATCCATCAAGTTTTAATGCAAGTTTCCACTGAAATTCTATCTGCCCTGTTAACATGGAAGCCTCTAAAGGCTGTCCCTTGGCAGATATAAGGCAGACAGGATGAAGAGAGATTATCCAGCACTAAAAAACTGACAGAAGAACAGATTTAACATAAATGTTAGATAAGTGTATGCCTTCACTTAGTAGGTATTTTCAAAAGGATAGATAAATTAAAAATAATCTGTAAGTAAATCTATTTTCATGTGATCCCATTAACTAAACTTAACAGAGAAATTAAGAAAAAATCTCAGGTAATGGCTGGGTTTACTGTAGTTAAATATGTGCAAATATTTAATTTGCACATGCAAACAATGCCAAAAAACAGTTAAACAACAAAAAATAAAGCAACATAAATGGAATGCTACTTTAGGCACTCAAAATAACCCAGAATTTACAGGAATTTTGTTGATTACAAACATGCTTCCTGTTCTCCAGTATCCATTCTGAGGAGGGAAACAATT